AATGTAATTTGTCCTCCTGTTCACCTTATTTATGAAAATAAATTGCACTGCATGCAAGTATTAATTAATAAGATTCATATTTGGGGCATTCTTTTGCAGAAACAGATATCTCCGTTTGTGTTTAGTATCCTCAATCATGGATCTTTTTCTACGCTGCAAATGATCTGAAATTGTGTGTTTTTGCACACTTCAGTGAAAGTCAATCAAACGGGTGTTTTTTATTCAGAAAGGCTTTAAGCCTGTAATACTCAGAGGTAATATTTGGATTTATTTTACACAATAGGCCCATTCATTTCAAACCGTTTCATCCTTCTGCCATGTGAGTTGCTGTTTCTCCAACAGGGAATCCAGTACCGAGGGGATTTAACGTTACAGAGCTTCAGGACAGACAGATAGCTTTACTTTTTGCTAAAGCGCTGAGTGCAGCTAACTTTAAATGTCTGCATCTGTACTATTAGCTGGGCTGCTGGCGGCCCTATTAGCTGACTCCGGCCCCGGGGTTCCAAGAGCCAAACCTGGCTAGAAAACCACCCCGGTACTGTATTCCCTCTCATCAAACTGGCCTCTCGGTCTCGGAGGATCCTTGGAGGATTGCTGCTGTGTTCGCTCGGCAGGAGCTGGAACCACTCATGTGTAACGCACATTCAACGCTATTGGCTACTGCAAATGTCAATCAATATTTGAGACAAGTCCCTCCCTAGCTTTGTGTTTTAACAGGAAACACATACATATACGAAAGCAAATAGCACTCCAGTTTACATTTCATGGGAACTTTAAATGTTCCATATTATGCAAAATGCACTTTTTCATGTCTCTCAACATAACTGCAACTCTGTGATTTACGGAGTTTCCTGATGGACAGAGTTTGGACAGATGGAAGAGTTTTACTTGTTGCTAACGCTACAGGCACCGCTAGCTACTGCTAACGCTAGCTACTGTTATCAGCTGGCTCTGAACCAGCGGCCCAAAGCTTTTGTACTAATGTTAGAGTTGTAAACACCAACACACCCCCGGAGCACCAATCTTCCAGTCTGGGCAAAATCAGGACGGCTAGCTGCAAGGCTAACTGAGTTGCTAGTTAGCAGCAGCCAGAGTCCTTATTGAGAGCCTAAATCCCTCCCCTTCTGGTGGACCATCATGGGAAAAAATACGTGCGGTAGTCAACGGCGAGAGAGAAATTATTTTTTGATCCTGTTTGAATTGTGCTCTGAATCACAAACATGATGATGGTCAATTTAAAATATACATTTAAAAGTCAAGAAAGTCACAGTTTGATGTAAAACTGTTGAGGTTTAGACTGTGAAAACACATAATTACAAAGACCACAGACCCAAAAGTCTTGTATGTGACGTCCTAACATCTTCTCTCAATGACTGAAGCTAACGTTATTGAAGCTAACGTCAAAGAGGATGATGCGATAAAAGGACAGAGAGTCGTTGGATTAAACACATCAGGTGAGATATATTTCCGCGTGGAACACGGCTAAGTTATCTAGCTATGAGCAACCAAGCAATGAACGTTAGCTTAGCATTACAGCGCTAACATGTATATTGTGCGAGACGAGAGATGTAGTTAATTGAACGGTTTTCACACAAAACAACATGTAACTTTACTGTTTACAGATATTTCGGACTAAGAAGACCAGGCCTCTTCCTCTTTAACTGCACGTTCCCTGCTCACCGGGACATAAAACCTGCACGTATAGAATCAGCAGAAAAAATCTAATAAAAATTGCTAGAATTTTTGATGACTTCGCCCCAAAATAAGTTTTAAAATGCGTTTTTCTCCCCCGGTTATACTTCTATACACATGCGTGGTAATAGACCCTTAAATCAGTGGAATTACACGATTGGCTTTATATGTTTCCCGCCTCGGCTGTTAAAAGCAGACGATTGGCTTTCTAGAAGGAGGGGCGGGATAACTGCCATCTTTGGCCTCGTGGGCTTTCCCTATAGAGTTGTACTGTGGATTCTTTAAGTGGCGTGTCTCCTCTATAAAACGAATCTGCTGCAGCCACTAGGCCTGCTGTACTCTTGAGAAGTTGGCCAATCAGAAAAAAGTGGGCTTTTTATGGGAGGGGGGCCTTAAAGAGACAGGAGCTTAAACTGAGTGTTTAGACAGAGGTGAAAAGAGGCGCTGAAGAAACGGACAGGACGGGCACAATAATTTGTTTTTAAACTTTAAAGCATGTAAACATTTTCTAATAGAATCCCTAAATACAAGTATGAACCTGAAAAAGAGCACAGTATGGGACCTTTAAGTTATGATGCTAATCCTTATTTACTTTTACATAACAAAAACTTTGAATGCAGGACTTTTACTCATAACAGAGTGTTTGTACACTGTGGTATTACTACTCTGACACATATTTAGAAAGTCACCTCAGCAACACGAGCCAGGGATCTGTTTTTACTTCAGGTTTAAGAAATAGTACTTGTAGTCTTGTAAACATCAAAACACAGCCAGAAGAGATGAAATGAACCTTTCCTCTGTGACATCTGTGTCGTGTTTCCTTCAGTCGCTTACACTTAACACTTCAACACAACTTTACTCACACATCAAGACCCACATTTCCTCCGAAGGTTTTGCTTTTACGGCCTCCTTCTTCATCCTGAGGACACCTGTGTCCTGGACAGCTGTGATTGGCCGAGACACCTGTCAATCAAACAGACAAACACACCTGGGCATATTCTTCTCTTTTTGAATCCCTGGCATCTCTTGAGTGGAAGAAGGCTTGTGTTGGATTTCTGTGATCGGAGACGCTGAGCTGAGATTATTCTTTACCTGTTTGCATCGTCATGAAACGGATTCACTTCTGTCTGTTAATCAGCTTTAATCACCTGTAAACACTCGCACATCCGCCGCCGGACAGAGTTGGGTTCAGCTCTAATGAGTCTTTGTGGTAACATTTCAAACCACATAAAGTAAAACCACACACACACACACACTGCTGCTCCTCAGACAGCTCTACCTGTCTCCAGGTGTGTTTTAATCTCTCTGTGGTCTCTGCGGTGTCACGTATCAAACGTCCCGCCTCACCTGAGGCTGCAGGGCTTCCAGGAAGGAAGCGAAGGCGGCGCTGTCTCTGCCGACTGATGCGGTCGAGCTTCAAACGCACCTTCAAGACTTCTGAGAAAAAGGGAGCTGAAAGAGGACGGATCAGAGGGGAGGGGACAGGTATAAAAAACAAGCGCACCTGAAGGCAGCAGGAATCAGACCCAGCAGAGAGGATCAGACCTGATACCTGACTAAACAGGGCTGGTTTTAGACGCAGATTCTGCAGGAATTCAAGAGCTACAGGACAGAAATTTATTTTCTTTTTCTAATAACCTGATCAATACGCTTTTTAAAGAGCCCGCTCAGAGAGAATTAAAGCGGTGAAGTTAATCAAATCTGCAGTCGGGTTTCTCGCAGGTCTGATCAATCCGTCGGAGAGACAAAAGATACAAGGAGGATCCAGTAGCTGATAGTTGATAGAGGAGTGTTTGACCGATCGATCGGAAGATGTGGGTGTGGCGTAGCGTCCTGTGCGTATCTCTGGTTTGCGGTCTGGCTCTGGACTCCAACACCATCAAATCCTCCAAAGAGACGATCAAGAGCTCCAAGCCGCCGGCGGTAAGAGAAAAAATACTTCACTGTAGTATTTCTACCTCTCCTCCAGCAACAGGGACATGTTGTACTTCTTACTGCACTACATCCATCTGATTATTGTTTACCTAGTAATTAGAGGGGTGTACAGTATGTAAATATATATATTTATATATTTATGTAAAAATATCACAAATTGCTGGGCTGCCATTTGTGGTATTTTTAGGTTTTGTAATATCATGAAAGGAGTAGTAGCAACAGTAGTTTTAGTACTTTCTTTGAGAAAAGCGGCACTAATATCAGTAGCAGGTAGGTCTGGGCAATAAAACAATAATAATAATTATCGCCATATAATTTTCAATAACAAAATGACAAATGTTCAATAAATATTTAATTTAATTCATCTGAATAAAGAACAAATCAGCACTTAATTTTTCTTTTAAGATATTTATTTTGTTTAGGAAAATAGATTTTACTTAATTTTACTTGTGCATATTTTATTGTAATAGTTCTAAATGTTTTGCCTCTGATCTGTGAAGTGATCCACTGTTTGGCATCAAGCGTTTGTTCTGACCAGAAGGACAACTTTAAAACCAAAATTAACTTTCACTCAGGAGCAAAAATCAGCCTTTAAAGCTGAAAATAATTATCAATATCGAATGATGTTAAATGTTTTATCTTGATAACGTTTTTGGCCGTATCGCCCCACCTTATTAGCTGGAGTATGATTATCAACAGTACTATTAGTATTTTAACAGCTGAAGTGGTATTAGCTACTGATATCAATAGCTGTAGCATGTGTAGTATTAATAGTGGTAGTATAAAGTACTAATATCAGTAGAAATATCTTTAGAATATGCCAGCACTTTACTTTAGAATCCAGGGAAACCTCTGATGTTAGCTGTTAGCCTGCTGCTAGCTGTTAGCCTGCTGCTAGGTGTTAACCTGCTGCTAGGTGTTACCTTTTGTTAACTGCCTGCTGCTAGTTGCTAGCCTGCTGCTAGCTGTTAGCCTGCTGTTAGCTGTTACCTTGTGTTAACTGCCTGCTGCTAGTTGTTAGCCTGATGCTAGTTGCTAGCCTGCTGTTAGCTGTTAACCTGCAGTGAGCTGTTACCTTGTGTTAACTGCCTGCTGCTAGTTGTTAGCCTGATGCTAGCTGTTAGCCTGCTGTTAGGTGTTAACCTGCTGCTAGGTGTTACCTTTTGTTAACTGCCTGCTGCTAGTTGTTAGCCTGCTGCTAGGTGTTAACCTGCTGCTAGGTGTTACCTTTTGTTAACTGCCTGCTGCTAGTTGTTAGCCTGCTGCAAGCTGTTAGCCTGCTGTTAGCTGTTAACCTGCAGTGAGCTGTTACCTTGTGTTAGCTGCCTGCTGCTAGTTGTTAGCCTGCTGCTAGGTGTTACCTTTTGTTAACTGCCTGCTGCTAGTTGTTAGCCTGCTGCTAGCTGTTAGCCTGCTGTTAGCTGTTAACCTGCAGTGAGCTGTTACCTTGTGTTAACTGCCTGCTGCTAGTTGTTAGCCTGCTGCTAGCTGTTAGCCTGCTGCTAGCTGTTAACCTGCTGCTAGGTGTTACCTTTTGTTAACTGCCTGCTGCTAGCTGTTAGCCTGCTGCTAGCTGTTAGCATGCTTCTAGATGTTAGCCTGCTGCTAGGTGTTAACCTGCTGCTAGGTGTTACCTTTTGTTAACTGCCTGCTGCGAGCTGTTAGCCTGCTGCTAGCTGTTAGCCTGCTGCTAACATTGTTGAAGTACTGAATAAATAATTTGAAGCATGATTTAGTGATCTGAGGTCATCACTATCAATTCTTTATAAGTGAATTATTAATTCAACACTGGGCATGTTAAACGCAGTACAATCAGTACATTTAGTGAACTTTAATCATACTTTTTGTAGTACTTTAACATCTAACCATGACCATCCTGGCGACCAGGTGGAGCATCCAGCACAGCGCCAGACGGAGACGGTGGTCAACTCCAACAAGGGACAAACACCTGCGTGTTCTACACCTGACTGCTCCGTACCTCAGGTGAGTGACGGGCAGGTAGAAGTGAACTCAGTCTACCTGCTTTAAACCAAACGTTTGTCTCGGAGATGTGAGACCCACTGCCTGTTTTTTCAGACTACCATTTCCATTGGTCATAAATTAACTTTCAATCTCACGGCGATTTTTTAGCTGGATGTGTCCACCAATCAGAGGGGAGCATGCAGTAACCGAGCTCAGAGACTGGCGGCCCAGGACCGACAGGCGGACCGACAGGCGGACCGACAGGCGGACCGACAGGTGGACGAACAGAGCAACACTGGCGGCTTCAACAGGACAAAAGGTGAGTGGTCAGAAGACAACTACAAGTCCCAGAGTGCACTGCTGTGTGGGAAACATCGAATAAGAAAGTTCCGGGCCCAATGGTGGAAAGCAGAGCCAAAATAATAAATAAAGATAAAAAAATAAATAATAAATTATTATTTTTTTAAGTAATAAAAACAAACAATTAAAATAAACAATAAATAATTGGAGTCGGAGCTGATCGATGCTGAACAGCAGGTACTTTTAGAGAAATTACGAAAACGCAGAAACAAGAGAAGGTGTCGGAGGAGACGTTCTGTGCGACCACCGAACCGGTTAAGGCAGAGGTAGAGGGACGAGCAGGAAATGCAGCCGACCAATCACAGCTCTAGTGGTCTGTGTCGCCGCCACGTGTAGTTACATTAGCGTCAGGCTCTGGCGTAGATTCGACGTAGGAGTATAAACTGGCCTTTACTCAGAACTTAGAATATCAGAATGAGTGGAAACTGGTGGAAAGTACATTTACTCAAGTACTGTACTATGTGAGGTACTTGCATTTTATGCTACGTACATGTGTCTTGTACTTCTTATAGTAGTTGTTTTGCAGAATACTTTTACTTGAGTATATTTGTAGTAGTGAAACACTGACAGGGAACATTTTACTGCAACGTGGGTACTTTTACTTTCATACTGTAAGTACATTTAGCTGATAATACTCATGTACTTTTACTGAGGTAAGGTTTTGAATGCAGGCTTTTCTTCATAGTGGAGTATTTTCACAGTGTGGTATTAGTACTTATAGCGAAGTAACGTCTGCATCTGTCTTCCAGCTGCGGAGATGGCGAGCTGCGTGCGGTCCGGCGACTGCGAGGCGGGTCTGTGCTGCGTCCGGTACCTGACCAGTAAACGGTGCCAGAGGATCCCGGTGGAGGGCGAGGCCTGTCTGCTGCGGGGCTCCACCAAGCTCAGGAGGAAGCTGGGCCGCTGCGACTGCGACGCGGGGCTGTTCTGCGCCGCTGTCAGCCGGGCGGAGTCGGGCAAACCCAAGGGCCAGGGTGTGTGTCGGCCCCACCAGGGACAGGGACAGAGGAAAACAAGGCATTCTGGGAAGAAGAGAAGGACGGCAGAGAGAAGCTGCTGACGGATTCATCACAAACTCTGTAGCGTTAGTGCAGTTTGTAGTCCTGCTGAGTCCTCCGGCGGCCATGTTTGAAGGCTGGTCCCTGGCTTCCTTGAGGGTCTGTTGTTGTCTCCCCTGAGAGATGGACTTTGTACTCCAGGAGAGCGCATCAGTGGTTCCCAAACTGAGGTCCGGGGCCCTTTGTAGAAGTATCCGCTCCATCACTGTAATTTTAGTAAATAAAAGTCACTAGAGTATATTAAAATAAAAAGACTGTCGTGGATCATTAAATCTCCGTACTTCTGTCTCTATATTGTAAAGCTTTGCACAAAGATCGTCCGGAGTTTTTGATTTGTGTGTCCTTCTCATTCTGACACTAATTCATCACACGAGTCAGGCACCAAATATCTCTTCAGCCGATCCTCCACCTGAAGGAGAAACCAATAAATACTGGAACATCAAATACAAAGTGTAGTGTTAGTGTAATATTAATATATTTACAGGTCCCTCATTATTTGGATAGTCTGCCTACAGATATTTAAACAGTTGATTAGTTGAGATTCAACAGTTTAACCGTTTCACAAATACAGCCGTGATATGACACCACTGTGGTTAAGGTCTGATTGGGCTAATGTTCATTATGATTTCAGAAAACAGTACAGCTCAGCACTAGTAGGCAACAGTATAAACTCCAGTCGGACTAAACAGCCGTTCAATTTCGTAAAATCGTTCATTAAATTATTGTGCAAGAAACCTGCTCTGCATGGTGGTCAGTCTGTGATGTGTTAATGCTCAGTATAATCATAAACTTTCAGGCAGAACAACGAGTTCAACGTGTCAGAAGTTTGCTGATTGGGGCGTCACTTTGTGCTGTGAAGGGGCTCAGATGAGGGTGTGACGACACACTCGGGTCACCAGAACAAGACGAGAAGATATTTGAACAGTTGTTTGAGTAAATATTTGATGCTGACATATCAGTGGGGGGGTCCTCCCCCACAAGACTTTGAGCTTTAAACACTTAATTCTGCACCAACATATGGAGGAAATGTCTTTATTGATATGAAGGGAAACAAAATTAAGGTGGCAGGTGACAATTCAGAATATAAAAACATAACAGAATATAATGTAGTGATCGGCTTTGGATTTGTTTCTTCTATATTTCAGTTGCATCGCAGGTTTTCTTATTGTTTCATTTGTTATTCAACTGTTTTTCAGAACATTTTTAACTAAAGCGTTCAAAAAGTGACATTCACTTGCGTCCCCGGTGAAAAAGACACCTGTCTGTCAATGCTTTTAAATGTCCCGCCCCATCCAGGCTGTGATTGGTCGGTTCACCAAAACTGACATTGACGAGCTTCTGTCTGCACGCGGCTGCTTGAAAGGCACCGAGCTTCTCTCCTCCGGGCAGGTGAGAACGTTGAGAACAGGAACAGGTGAGCGTCACGTGGCGCCCAGAGAACCTGATATGAAGAGGACAGGTGTGACACCAAAATGTGTGACCTATCAGATTCTGTGACCCAAATGGGAAGTTAAGCGCCAGAAGCTTTGTTGACGATGTGAAGCGGCTGCAGCTTGGTTGGGTTTAGGCACCAAAAGTACTTGGTTGGGTCAAAAGTACTTGGTTGGGTCAAAAGTACTTCATCATCATCATCGTTTGGGTGTAGTCACAGAATCTGATGGGTCACAGATTGTGGTGTTACACCGGCAGCTTGGGCGAAGTCCCGGTACCCAAGAAAATGTCCCGGTAAGAGTAAAATGTCGGGGTACCGGTGTTCTGTCGATTTATGCTACCTATTGAGATGTGCTACTTAGGGGTTCTGCGCATGCGTATGACCCACAAGCGTGGTTTGGTTACAAGCCAATAAATCTGTGCAACCTTGCTGTTGTGAATGCCGTCGAGAAAGTGGCTGATCGTCAGTAACATCAAAATGAAATCATTATTAGTCTATCAGAATACGCTGCCCCTGATATCTTAAATAAAGATGGCATAATATAATACTTCAACATGCTGACACGTGGAGTGAGTAGTGGTGCAACATAAAATGATTCTGTAGTGGGAGCTTTATTTGATAGGTGATATTAATCAGAATACGCTGCCCCTGAAACGTGTCACTGCGTCATGTACTCTGGGGAACTGTCCCCATCACTTTCTGAAAGCGTGTGTTAAATATGCTTTGAAAATAGCTTGCAACAAGAAATGTTAAACAACAAATGAAGGTTTATTTGCAGTTACTTGTTTATGTAAGATAAAACAAGCTACTGATTATAAAATGACGGCATAACGTGCAGCACCAGTCAGTCTGTTCTCTCCCTGTGGACTGAATCATGACTCTGCAGGGTGATGTCAGGAGAGAAAAGTTGATCTACAGGAGAAACAGATCTGAAAGCAGCACACAATGACTGAGAGCTGCGCTGGCTGAGATTCTGTTATATTTATAGATTTAAAATTTTCACCTGATTGCCGTGTTTCCCTTTACATAAATAAAACATTTCCACTATAAATTGATGCAGGAAAGAAAATGCAGAAAATTCACCAGAATGCAGGAAATTAAGTGTTTAATGCTCGACATTTCAGCATTGATAATTTATATAAAATAGTGTAAAAACAATATCACATGTGGTGACAGCAGTATGGCGCCTCTCCATGTCTCGTGAGCTAACTGTATCTTCACACGCCCGACCTGGGCCCTCGTGTCCCCACTACTCCAACACAAAGGGACGCCCTTGCTTGTCGGTTTCTTTCTCTTGTTACAATAGACGAATTCACGTTATCTATACCGGTGGTTCTCAAACTTTTTCGCGTCAAGGACGTCTAAACTGACACATTTTAGACCACAGACCCTCGTTTGTTAAGATTTTGTCCCAGGGGCCCCCATCTGATAGAAATTTTGCTTGTAGAATCAGAAACAGTTTTATTGTCACGCAGGTTAACAAGAAATCTTCTGTGGCGACTTAAATAAACATAAAGTAAAAAATTGACTAGATGTAAAAATGATAAAGGAATCATAAAGAAAATGTCAGAATATTGGCAGTGTGTACTGTAAAGGCGTGGGGGTCCGAAGGAATGTCTAAAACTGTTTGTTGCTCGCCTCAGAGTCCTGCAGGTCCTTGAGAGGTGGAAGATTGATGAATGTTTGGTCTGGTTTTGATTAGTAGGTGTTTTATTACAGAAAGTGTATGAAACCCATGACCCAAGCAGTATTTGTGTTACTCCTGTTTTAAACAACCTAAATCAGTTAGAATGTATTAAAATTGTATGTATTTTCTTTAAATAGGTTGTTGTGAAATTTATTTATTTATTATCAAATTGTTTATCTTTAAACATCATCTGTCACCCTCTTCAGCAAACTGGAAGCAATCAGTTTGAGTGGGACACTTTGTTAGATAAAGTGGGACTCTATATTATTTAAAGTTAAAATTAAATATTAAACACGTGAGAAATACTTTTTACAGCATTTAATAACATATTATTAGGCATTTTAATATTATATTAACATTTAACAGCATATATAATGTGTTAGTGCACAGTAACTCAAAGAGATATAATCATGTTTGTGAGTAGTCTAAAGTAGGGCTGGACAAAAATGTTGTCACGATAAAAAGTTTCATATCTTCCGATATGGATAATTATCACAAAAAGTATCAAATCGCTATTTCTTTTGGGTTTAAAGGCTGATTTTTTTGTGGCACAGCGGATCACTTCACAAATTTGAGGTAGAACATTCAAAACAATTGTGATAAAATCAACAAATATGCGCGAGTAAAATTAAGTAAAAGCCTTTTTCGGCCCCTTTTCCTCTACAAAATAAACATCTTAATACAAAAAATAAGTCCTAATATGTGTTTGATTTAAGGGAATTCAATCAAACATTTATTGAACATTTGTCATATTGTTATTGAAAAGAATTTATATTTTGATAATTATTGTTATTGTTTTATTGTCCAACCGTAGCCTAAAGGCAAAATGTCTTCAGTTTATTAATGTAAGTTAGTCACCTGATGCCTTTGTAGTCAGTTTCAGGGTGTTCATGACCTGCGTAGGTTCCTGTCCTTTATATTCCTCAACGTCCACTGCCATTCTCTCTTCCCTCCACTTGTCCAATCACAACCTCTGTTTCATAACCAAAAGACATTCAACAACAACACAATAACAATTGTTGTGATTGACTTACAAAATTAACCCTGTACAGTTCAAATGTCCCACTCAACCTGAATTCACCCTACCGATGATTAAATGACCGCTAAGTTTGCACCCGTCAGTAACTTTAATAACTTGTTGACACACTTGTTGACACAGTTTTTTTGTGGCCAAGTTTTTCGTTCTCTTATATTTTTAATTGTCACGTTTCTCTTTTTACATAAATAAAAACTAGTGATGGCGAGATGAAGCTTCGTGGCGCTTCATTTGTTCTAGTGCGCCGTCAAGTGGACGTTACACGTAAAACACAGGCAGAGTGAACGTGAATGGTTCCCTGAACACCCTGCTGTGAACGCAAGCGTTTTCCTGCCTTACAAACTTGTCGCAGCTGATTGGGTAACACCTGAGACACGCCCACCAGACGGGAGCAAACACACCTCGAAACCCGCTGCAGAACGTTGCAAGGAAACATGTTCAATCAGAAAACGTTGCAAACCGGTGCAAAGCGTTTTGAGCTCGCCCCTGGTTCTCTGGGCGCCACGTGACGCTCACCTGCCTGCTGATCTCTGTCTGCAGCCAGTTTTGGTAAACCGACCAATCACAGCCTGGATGGGGCGGGACATTTAAAAGCATTGACAGACAGGCGTCTTTTTCACTGGGGACGCTGGGGACGAGTCTGAATGTCACTTTTTGAACGCTTTAGTTAAAAATGTTCTGAAAAACAGTTGAATAACAAATGAAACAATAAGAAAACCTGCGATGCAACTGAAATATAGAAGAAACAAATCCAAAGCCGATCACTACATTATATTCTGTTATGTTTTTATATTCTGAATTGTCACCTGCCACCTTAATTTTGTTTCCCTTCATATCAATAAAGACATTTCCTCCATATGTTGGTGCAGAATTAAGTGTTTAAAGCTCAAAGTCTTGTGGGGGAGGACCCCCCCACTGATATATGTCAGCATCAAATATTTACTCAAACAACTGTTCAAATATCTTCTCGTCTTGTTCTGGTGACCCGAGTGTGTCGTCACACCCTCATCTGAGCCCCTTCACAGCACAAAGTGACGCCCCAATCAGCAAACTTCTGACACGTTGAACTCGTTGTTCTGCCTGAA